ATATTGACAACTTGTATTATGTTTAAAATTTGTAAAAGTTTAAACTGCCAAACTGATTCGCATCCATTAGCCAATTTGCTCAATCTGCATCCATCAATCCGTAGGACGGATGCGGATTGATTTTTTCCAATCTGCTAATCTGGCAGATTGGAGGTTTTCTGACCGCAACCGAACCGCAAACACCCCTATATATAAGGGAGAGGGGTGAGCTGGAGCCTAGTGAGTAACATCAATATAAAAGATTTAATGAATGAAGTCCAACATTTCATAAAACATATCTTTTTAATATCCAAAACAATTCGTATAATAGTCATATATCAAATTCATATCAATCATCTGTTTTAACAATATTCATTGCAAATCATTATACGTGGTAACATCCAATAGAGAAACAATAAACCAATATGTCGAAGTCAATGGGATCATTAAGGTCAGTTCAATAGGACCACAACGGGTCAATAAATAGAACCACAACGGATAATTCAATGTGAACCACTAGGGTCTAACATCAGAGATCTCTGTGTTTCAATTAATCTAATAGGCCATGATATTATGTCCCCCAGACAAGGGACTTACTAAAAGATGTCGCGAATACAATTTTTAAAAAGGACATTCATTCAGAGATAACAAAATAAGATTTCAAAATATCATTATTGAGCAATTCAAAATACTTTTCGAACATATCTTTATAGAGATATTACTCACTGTGGGTTTGAACTGATGTTAACCTTCAGATGACCACCTATGTCACGACCCCAAACCGCCCCTAGTAGTTTGGTGCCGTGATGGCCAGTAATCCGTAATTACCGAAGGCCAACTTTTCAAAACTTAACACAATCAGAGTATGGATATAGGGGGCTCACAAATGCGGAAGCAATAAATCAAACACAAGTGGTCCGTAAGAGCTGTGCGTAGATCCAAGCAATGCCAAACATTCAAATTAACTTTACAACTTAAATACAACAAGGTAAAATAATACATGTTACATCTTGATCAAAAGGCTTCTCAAGCCGACATATACAAAATACAGCTAATACAAATCAAGAAGCATGATTTTCAAGATTTGCCGACATGTGAAACAGGGCATCGCCGACGTAAATACAAAAGTAAAGCCGACATAAGCACGAATCCAAACAAGCAACCAAAACGATCTAGGCGTCGCCGACGTCCTGCTCATCACCTACATATATATAGAGAGGGTGAGCTTGGATACTCAGTGAATGGTACTAATAATAAAAGTTTGCATGAATATAGCCGAAGTCTTTCAAAATAAACGCATCAAACTTTATCAAGCAAGGGATGAACCGTATTCATCAATCAAGTATTACAACATCGGCGAAGCAAGGGACGAACCGTATTCATCAATCAAGTATGACAACATCGGCGGAGCAAGGGATGAACCGTATTCATCAATCAAGTATTACAACATCGGCGGAGCAAGGGATGAACCGTATTCATCTGTCAAGTCATACAAGTCTCAAGGATGCTTACTGACATCGGCAAAACACATCAAGCTCATCAAAACGAGGGCGGTACGATCCGTAATCGTTTAGTCAAAGGTACTGCGAAAGTTTATAGTCCTCCAGCACAAGGGACTTGTGTTACTTAGGCCCGTACCCCGATTTAACAATATGGAACTTGTGTTACTTAAGCCCGTAGCCCGGTTTAACAATATAGAACTTGTGTTACTTAGGCCCGTAGCCCGATTTAACAATATGGAACTTGTGTTACTTAGGCCCGTAGCCCGATTTAACAAGGACCGTATCCTTTTACTTAGGCCCGTAGCCCGATTTAACAATATAGTCTTTTCAAGAAAGGACTGTATCCTTTTATACTTAGGGCCTTAAGCCCGTAGAGTCCTCCAGCACAAGGGACTTGTGTTACTTAGGCCCGTAGCCCGATTTAACAAGGACCGTATCCTTTTCAAAGGTGGCATCAACAAGGAGTATACTTGGCACATCAAACAAGAGCTATTTATTCATGCCAACAAAATACTTTTGTCAAACAAGGCAAGCAAAATTTATCAAAACAAGTATAACATAGCTTTATCAGTAATACCACTCACCTAGTTCTTCAGGTGTAGGCTCAAAGCAAATATCAAGGACCTACAATCACATGGAAAATCACGTTCTCAAAACAAGCTTTATATGCATGCAGATGATCTCGGCATCCTCACCAGGTCCAAGTCAATAACAAAGCAAAACATGCTGGGAGTTTGAACATTGCTCCGGTTTTATACAAACACACTGGGTACCAAGCAGGTCTTTGCCGAGGTCCCACACATCCTTGCCGAGGTGTGGTCCCGCTGGCCTTAATCAAAAGCAAAGTCGGGAAAACCTGGGTTCCCTTTGAAGCACATGAAGAATATGATGATCATGATCATGAGGGATATGAATGCAAGTTCAAAACTCGTCACAAAGATCTGAGGTTTCATGCCAAGAGTTCAAAACATGGACCTGGGTACCCATACAAGAAGGTCATGCAAGAACAAACACAAAAACATGGTTTTCGTTCCAAACTTTCGGATCAAAACGAGACTTTTCTTCAAAAACACATGAATACTATTTTCTCTTTTCAAAACCAACTTCAAATCGATGCATGTCATGCAAAACAGATTTGATCATGCAATGCAGCTAGATGATTAGTAACAACAACCAAAGTAGATCAAAGTTCAAACCTCAAAACTCGAATCCAACGATTCAAACCACGAAGATCAAGCTTGGAAGACTTGCTCTCACTCAAGAACTTCTCCTCCTTCTCTCTAGAGGCAAAGGTTTAAGACAAAAAAATGATTTGTTTCTAGGTCTGCCGGCTGTCTTAACAACTAGCTCGGACACGTGGCGCTACCGGGTTGGCTCAACTCAAAAAGGTGATTGATAGATAAGACAAGTCTCTGACAAAGCGTATGCAGCAAGCTCAGGTAAGTCACATCGGCAAGAAATGACTTCGGCTCAAATCAAAGCTTCGGCAACAGGATAACAAACATCGGCTAGGGAGGTCGACACTTGTCTAAGCTGTGCCACACCTTGGCCGGGGTGTGCCACATCTCGGCCTAGGCCATACCTGCCTGAGGACAAGGTTCACTAAATGCAAAACATCTCGGCAATAAATGCCCAAGGTGAAGGTGGGGGTCGACTAAGGTCTCCAAACAGTTTCAAGTACAAGGGTTCAAAGGCGAACTAAGCTCAAGATGACCTCGGCCACACACACACCGAACAAGGAACAGAAATCATGCAAGTAACTTTAAGCAAAATCAAGGCAAGACAAAACCTTCAAAACAATATAACAAGGCAAGATCATGCATGAATGTATGCAAGTATGACAAGAGTAAGGTGAGGGTTGTTACATCCTACCCCCCTTAAAGAAGTTTGGTCCCCAAACTTAGATTACCTTGCTCCATGAACAACTCCGAATAACGGATTCTCACATCCTCTTCCTTTTCCCACGTGGCTTCTGTGCCATAATGCTCCTTCCATTCGACCTTTACCATCGGTATCGACTTGTTTCTCAACTGCCTAACTTGTCTGTCAATAATCCTCATTGGCTTCTCCTCGTAGCCCAAATCCTCAGTAACCATGATCTTGGAATGATCAATTACATGTAGTGGATCTCGGATGTACTTCCTCAACATCGAAACATGAAACACATTGTGGACTTGGCTCAAATCCGGCGGCAAAGCAAGTCTGTAGGCAACGGGGTTAATTCTCTCAAGAATTTCAAATGGCCCAACATAACGAGGTGCTAATTTACCTTTGTTTCCAAATCTGGATACTCCTTTCATTGGTGAAACTTTCAGGAATACATGATTCCCAACTTCGAATTCTAACTCATTCCTTCTCTGATCGGCGTAGCTCTTTTGTCGGCTCTGGGCAGTCTTAATCCTCTGTCGGATGAGTTTAATCTTCTCTGTTGTCACTTGAATCAATTCGGGACCGAGCAGAGCTCTGTCTCCAACTTCGGTCCAACATATCGGCGACCTACATTTTCTTCCGTACAAGGCCTCATACGGCGCCATGCCAATGCTGGCTTGATAACTGTTATTGTAAGCGAATTCCACTAAGGGCAAATGTGTTCCCCAACTTCCTAGGAAGTCCAATGCACAAAGCCTAAGCATATCTTTAAGCATCTGAATTGTCCTCTCTGTCTGCCCATCCGTCTGGGGATGAAAAGCTGTACTAAATCTCAGCTCGGCTCCAAAAGCCCTCTGTAAGCTCTGCCAAAATCTAGAAACAAATTTAGGATCTCGGTCTGAAACAATTGACATCGGCACTCCATGAAGTCTGACAATCTCGTTCACATATAACAAGGCAAGTTGATAAAGACAAAACAAAACAAGCTGGGAGCTTAAAAGCAGCATGGCTAACCAAATTACAATCATCAATCAAACCCTCTTTTCATATGGAATGCTGCTGAAAGAGTCCTCAACAATCAAAGAAACAAACAAAATAACTGGTAGCCAGCGGTAGAAAAGAACCACCTGATTGAAACTGTGGACATCAAAGAATACCTAACAACAGTTATTTCTCCAACCAAAAACATATTGGCAACAATAGTTCATGAGGTCTCCATTTTCCCAACTCATAGCTCTACCAATGTTATCAATGAAAGTAATATTGACTAGAATCCGTACTTCGCCTACATAAGTTTCCCCTCTATGATACTCTCCAAATACTGACACAGGTGAGCAATGAAGATCTCAACCACTACTTGATAATTTGGAAAAGGAAAAACTGCTGGAGCAAAAAAATTCCTTCTTAACTTCTAGGCATAAGTACCTAATGGGAAAAGAAAAGAAACAAAAGCCTATAACTGTACATTTCGCAATTTAACTTCTAAATGACAAGATGGCTTCTTGTTTGCTTATGCCTCCTTCTCTCCAGCAATACCACTCAGTGCTACCCAAGAAGTGCTACCTTACCACCAAAACCATCATCATGCCAACCCTGCCACCACTGCTAATAGTACTATGACAACACAATGGCCACAATTTCTATACAAACTTTTTTTTTTTAATGTCACACCTCCTCTTCATGCTCAAATCAGAGCCGAAAGAGAAATTAGCTTCCATTTATTTTTCACTTTCTTGCAACCCCATCATTTCCATTCACTCAATCTGAAAGTCATATGGAGTCGCTTTCACTAATCTATGTTATTCAAGCATTATAAAATTCAATAACAACACACACACACACACAGGAGTCATCCCTGACCCAGTTCTTATGAGCAGATGCCAACCACAGGAAGAGTATTGGATGCACAAAAGCAACATAGATGATACATCGAGCAAATACTGAAAACCAAGAACCTTCCAACATCTTGTATTGCAGTAGCATTTCCCTTAAACGAAGTGTTCATGATCTTAAATTCAGTGTTGACCTCCCATCAAATAGAAGAGATCCTACCAATCATGCAATTCAAATACTTCCCACATTTAAAATATTCATGAAACAGTGAAGTTTCATGAAAAACAGAAGCAAAACCCTTAAGTTGATGCAAACCTTCACCATGAGTTCCCATAAGCTGAAGAAACCATAATCAGGTTAAATCGTACTTACTTGATTGCAGCAGAATGAGTAGGAATAATTTCAATCAAACAATGGGGTGGAGAAAAAAACACCGTAATGTAGAAGACAGACCTGCCACAAACACTGCACTTTAAACTACCAATTTTTCCTTGCTCTTTCAATCTTCTGCGTTGCGCTGGATTCTCATTCAGTTGTTTGACAAATTTGAAAAATGCACTGTGCACCAGCTGCTTAAACTCCTTAGAGTTTTCAGGTGGCTCAGACTTTGCAGGGGTGAGCTTAGCTTCTGAAGGGCCTCCCTCTTCAGCATGAATACTTTCAGCATGAATACTTCCATGATAAGCATCTTGATTGTTTCTCAAGGACTTCTGCAGCTTGATTTTTTTTGCTGAAGGCTGTGGAATATGAACATGTTGAGGAACAGGCCCCAGTCTCTTCTTTATATCTCTAAAACTATATTTTAAACGCCTTGGATTACATGCTGACAGACTACCAGATGCATTAGAGTTACAATTTCTATGACCAACCATCCCATTGAAAGTTTTTCCAACATTTCTGTATCGTGAGGAACTCAACAGTGGCTTATTTGACTTAGTATCATGAATTTTTCCAGTGATCTTCCTGTTACTTGAGAACTTACTTCCTGGGTTCTGCCTAATTAGTTTCTTGTCAACATCCCATTTCCTTTTAAGCATCCTTTTAGGGTGCTCAAGAGAGCCTAGTTCCTCTACTATGAATCTGTCTTGATTGTTATCATAAACCCCGTCTAACCAAAGATCATAATCTTCCATCAACGACATATTCAATCTTTCCTCATCAGAATGAAGATGATCATCTATTCCATAACCATGGTCTTCGCTAGAGTAAATGTTTTCATGGCCTCTATATAGTTCTCTTTCATACTCGAGGTGCACACTCCTAGGACCTAAATCTTCTCCCTCTTTCTTACTTGCATATGATGATCTAGCTGCATCAGGATAATTGGAAATTGGCTGTTCTTGTGAAGAGCGATGATAGTCCCGTAGTCTGCCTTCAATCAGTCGCTCTCTACCAGAACTTTCTGTAACAACTATCCTGTCTATGATAGGTTCCACAATTCTAGGTCCTAATGACTCTCGATGGCCATAGTCATCTTCAATACTCACCATCTTCCCATAAAGTTTATCAGTCAGAGAACCCATATCGCTCTTCTCACTTCTTTGCACTTCAGAATAAGCATAACCCCTTTGTGTGCCCTCCTTCGGACTAAGCTGAACCTTCATGTAGTTTGTCATATCTTCTAGGTGCAAGGTAGGGTCTCTGGAGGAATTGGAATGTGAATCATGAGTATACGCCTCATGGGAAATAGGATCATTAAGCAATCCTGAACTCCTACTGAATCCATCCAAACGAATGGGGTAACCATTGCCACCGGAATAATGGTAATCATTCATTGAACTTCCAAAAGGGACAGTGGTCGACGTCTTGGACTGAGATGATGGTATTGCATAATGAGAAGTATCCCTTGAGTGGCAGTGGGTCTTCTCTTCCCTTGAGTAGAATTTAGAAATATCTTCCTCCTTCAATAATTCTCTTTCTGGTAGTTTATCAGAAGGCAGGTGGGCTTGGAATCGAATGTCTTCGTCCTTGTCAAGAGTGCTATTCAATTTTTGCGATGGCAATAAAAGGCCACCACTATCAGTGTCTACAGAACTTCTCCGAGTGCCACTTGGAGGAAGGTATCCAGGGAAAGTTCTGTCCCTTCCGATTTCCATATGTATGGGTTTCGCCACCATCATCCCAGAGCGGGCCGTATCTGCAAATCCAATGCCCTGATAATTCCTTTCAGTATTCACTCTGGTACTACTAATAATACCAACACCACAATCAGGAAAATTCTTCGAGCTGTGATTTACATTATCATTCACTCTTTTGTGTTCGTCTAAAAGATATTTCCACTGGAACTTCAAGGACGGTGAGTCCCTTTGTGACAAAGCTTCGTTAAACTGGGACAGTTTTTGCAATTCCCCGTCTCCATCTCCATCCAAATGCTTACTATAATCTCTTCTCTGTGATGAACCACTGGGATGCTCACTACCCAAAACCCGCCTCGACTTCTCCCTTTCATTCAAACCTGGAACAAAGTGTGAATGCCTCTCTCGCCACGAATAGTCCCGACCTTGCACACTGGATCGAATTGGAGACCCAGTTCTATGGTCTCGTGATCGCCCACGCGGCAGCGAATAGTCCCGTCCACCTTGCAAAGTTACACGAGGCGGAGACCGAAGTCTAACGTCTCCTCCTAACCTCTTCTCTCTCATCATTCACTGCTGAACTAGATACAGAAACAATCTTTCTATATCTGTCTCCTTCAATAACACCAAATACAGAAACGCAGAATATTTGAGGAAACTAATATTAATATATCAGAACCAGCAGTCCCTAAGATTCAGATTTTACATAAAATGAAGAAAAAAACCCTAGGAGAGAGAAAACCCTAACCGAAGAAGAAGAAAACCATACTCAACGCCAATTCGAAGCAATATCTAACAGGTGTTTATGCGATTCGAAGGAACCAAATCCTAAGATTGCAATTTTTCAATCAATGATTTCATATTGTACGATACATATACATAATATTTAGTGTGATTTCAAACCTTTTGGGGTGAAGAAGAAGATCGAGAAGCCATCGATTCAGATTCTGGTTTGCTCATATGTGAATAGATAGATAGATAGAAGAAGAAGATCGAGAAGCCATCGATTCAGATTCTGGTTTGCTCATATGTGAATAGATAGATAGATAGAAGAAGAAGATCGAGAAGCCATCGATTCAGATTCTGGTTTGCTCATATGTGAATAGATAGATAGATAGAAGAAGAAGATCGAGAAGCCATCGATTCAGATTCTGGTTTGCTCATATGTGAATAGATAGATAGATAGAAGAAGAAGATCGAGAAGCCATCGATTCAGATTCTGGTTTGCTCATATGTGAATAGATAGATAGATAGAAGAAGAAGATCGAGAAGCCATCGATTCAGATTCTGGTTTGCTCATATGTGAATAGATAGATAGATAGAAGAAGAAGATCGAGAAGCCATCGATTCAGATTCTGGTTTGCTCATATGTGAATAGATAGATAGATAGAAGAAGAAGATCGAGAAGCCATCGATTCAGATTCTGGTTTGCTCATATGTGAATAGATAGATAGATAGAAGAAGAAGATCGAGAAGCCATCGATTCAGATTCTGGTTTGCTCATATGTGAATAGATAGATAGATAGAAGAAGAAGATCGAGAAGCCATCGATTCAGATTCTGGTTTGCTCATATGTGAATAGATAGATAGATAGAAGAAGAAGATCGAGAAGCCATCGATTCAGATTCTGGTTTGCTCATATGTGAATAGATAGATAGATAGAAGAAGAAGATCGAGAAGCCATCGATTCAGATTCTGGTTTGCTCATATGTGAATAGATAGATAGATAGAAGAAGAAGATCGAGAAGCCATCGATTCAGATTCTGGTTTGCTCATATGTGAATAGATAGATAGATAGAAGAAGAAGATCGAGAAGCCATCGATTCAGATTCTGGTTTGCTCATATGTGAATAGATAGATAGATAGAAGAAGAAGATCGAGAAGCCATCGATTCAGATTCTGGTTTGCTCATATGTGAATAGATAGATAGATATAGAGAGAGAGAAAGGGAAACGAATGGTTGCAGGTATAAACAAGGCTTCAAATTTGATTCATGAATGGAATCCCAAATTTTGTTTGGCGTGATTTTATTTATTTATGGAAGTTATTAAAGGCTAGTTTAGCGGGGAGGGTGACTAATAGATTGTGGGCATGTGTCCCTTGTGGGGATACGTGTAGAGATCATAGAGGCCTTTACCTAATTCAAAAATACGATACATCTCAAAAAGTTTTATTAAAAATTATATTAAGGATTGGTTTAGTATAAATTAAATAATATAAAAAGTCACTATCCTATTTAAGGCCAAGTTTGGGATACTTAAAAAAAGTCAAAAAGTCAAAAAGTTATTCAAAAAGTTAAAAAGTTAACACTATTTACCAAAAGTCAACAATTACGGCTGCACAACTCCCAATCCTAATTTTCCTCTACAAACCAATTTTTACAATTTTTTATTATACATTTTTCCATAAAAAGTCAAAAAGTTAACCCAAACATCCATATTTTCAATCTCAATTTTTTAGTCCAAAAAGACAAAAAGTGCACTTAGG